TCTGCCTCTGCGCCACAGCTGCCCTAAGGACAGTATTGACTATGCTGTGACATCACAGAACATCACACAACAAATCAATCTTGACTGTGAAGTCATCAGAATAGGACGTATTATAGCACCTGATTATGACTTAATGTGATCTAAAAGATTATCTTACCTCTCATGTCTTTCTGCAGTGTATTCTGTCTCAGCCGAAGTTCTGGGGTGTAGAAGTCACAGCTCTTTGCCTCAGGACCAAACTGGAAAAAGGGAGCTCCCGATGTGTTGAGAGAGCCATGATGCAAACCCAGGTAAGGAGATATGTTTGGGGGATTGTATTTATCTGTCAGTAGAGGCATCAGGAGTACTGTAAACCATTTTTACATATTAGGATCCAGAATATACCTTTTCTACTTATGACTTATGAAAAAATTCTATAAAAGACAGCAAACACAACTACTCAGGGAAACCTAAAGGTAGACAGACTGCAGACCGTGCACTGGCCTGCAAGGGCCTACCTTACAGAGAGGTTATTTTTTAAACCTTGGCAGCTTATTCAAGAGCTATTTTTTGAGTGTTTTACATAAGCCCACAGGGATAGTGTTTGAGAAACAACATCTTACCCAGAAAGGGAGAGACACATGGCACAACCCAACACAAAGGTCCCACAAGTGAACCAGGAAATTGCGTTTAGAGGGTATGGGTCCTAATCAACAGACACCCTCGACAGAACTTTTATTTAAAGCTATAAGATTTGATGGCATCTAGCGATGAAGTTGCAGATTGACAACACTAAGGAAGCATGAAGGAGAAACTATGGTGGCCACAAAACTCACCAAAAACACGAAAGGCCCTATTTAGATTCAGTGTTTGCTTTGTCCACTCTGGCATACTGTAGAAACATGCCGTTTTTACGTGACGGGCTTCGTAGAAGAGGAGCCACTCCCTCTGTAGATAAAAACAACTCATTTTAAGGTAACAAACACACAACGATTCTCATTTTCAGGTGATTACACACTAATGAAAACATACCTATGAATATTATATTCCATTTCTGACAATAGAGTCT